AGTCAAACAGTCACATTAAATTTGGATATAAGCAAAAGGCTTATAGTGTAAAATAAATTACCCAACCTGTACACAACAAATAAATACCTTAAGAGACAAAGGTGCTGGAAACTTCATAAGTTTATTGTGTGGGGTTTGGCTTGGAGGATTTTTTTTTTAAAAAGGGGGGGGGGAATCCTCTCCCACCACTGACAACTCAACTTATTGGGAATGAGATGATAATTACTGTAGGTATACAAACCATTTCCAAATATTATCAGGGCAATGAGAGAAAAATGCAGGAAAAAAATATACAAGCCAGGAAAATCATAAATAAGGAAAGAAATGCAACCTCTTTACCTAACTGGAAAGCCAGCTGCACTGATGTTGACAGTTTCCACAATGCCACATGCCTCCAACTGCTGCAGAACCTGGAACAGAAAGCAGCTTTGAGGAATGCACCACCCCAAAAACTCTTCCCACTCCTGGGGATCACCCTGTCAGACCTGCAAGCCATGTTTTTGGACTTCAGGCCTGCCACACTTTCTACCGTGGGGAAAAAGGGAGGTGGGATTATACGGAGTTGGGTGATATGTAGCCATAACAACATTCTTTCTCAGAAAGTCAAGGTCACTTTTGTCCCTGCACGTGGCCGGATGTGGATGGGAGGAATCTGTCTTTGTGGTAGCAAAGATTAGGACCATGTGTTAGACTTGTGGGTGTTGGGGCAGGGGCTTGGACTTTCTTTTGGGTGGGGAAAACCTCGAAGCTTTCAGATTCGGGTTTTCCCAGATGACAACTCTAATAAATTGGAACTTGGAGGAAACTTGGAGTTTTATTTCATTGGGAGTGTTTTTTGGAACCTTGACACACACACTCCAAGAAGCCTTCAGAGACAGAAGGGTCTTGGAAGTGCAATAAGAACCATAAGCGGTGTAGAAACTAAATTCTACAAAGGGAAACTGAAAGTGCTGGATATGTTGGGTATCTTGATAACAATTGACCTTGAAGGGATATGACGAATATCTGAAAGAAGCCCAGAGGAAGGTGAATACTTCTCCATTCTCATTTCAGAGCTTGAAGTGGATTTTAATTACCAGGAGGCAGGTTCTAATTGAAGGTTGGAGAAAAAGTCCAAAGGATAAGAGTAGAATAGAACAGAATAACAGAGTTGGAAGGGACCTTGGAGGTCTTCTAGTCCAACCCTCTGCCTAGACAGGAAATCCTATACCATTTCAGGCAAATGGTTATCCAACATCTTCTTAAAAACTTCCAGTGTTGGAGCATTCACAACTTTTGAAGCCAAGTTGTTCCACTGATTAATTTTCTGTCAGGAAATTTCTCCCTAGTTCTAAGTTGCATCTCTCCTCCATTAGTTTCTATTAGTTTCCAGAGATATAAATAATTTTCTTAGCCATAGATTTCTTCTATTGCTAGGTTCTGTTTTCTTATATTTCACATTTTTAAAAACAATTTGAGTGACAGGATGTACCAATGATGTCGTGTAAACGGCGGGACTGAAATTTTTAATTTTCAAGTTTTTTTTTTTTAAAAAAAAGGCAACATGGTTGCACTAAACCAGCCTCTGTTACACCTGTTAATACAGGTAGTCCTTGTCCTTATGACCACAATTGCTTCTTGTTTGTTTTATTGTTTGTTTGTTTCTTTTATTAGTTTTGTATGCCGCCCACTCTCGAAGGACTCCGGGCGGCTTACAATAAAAAAGGGAAAAGGGATAATAAGATAATACAACAATTTAAAATACTCAACATTCATAGTTACAGTGGGGCTGGATACTTCACCAGCCCCCGGCCTGCCAGAACAGCCAGGACTTGGTAGCTTTACGGAAGGCCGGGAGGGTAGTAAGGGTCCGGATTTCCACGGGGAGCTCGTTCCAGAGGGCGCTGGAGCTGCAACAGAGAAGGCTCTCCCCTGGGGGATCACCAGCCGATATTGGCTGGCAGATGGAATCCGGAGAAGGCCAAGTCTGTGCGATTGAATTGGTCGTTGGGAGGTAATCGGCAGGAGGCGGTCTCTCAGGTACCCAGGTCCGATGCCATGTAGGGCTTTATAAGTAACTACCCTCAGGTGCTCTGGAGAATAGCTTGACTCCCTCTTCTTTGTGGCAGCCCCTGAGATATTGGAAGACTGCTATCATGTCTCCCCTAGTCCTTATTTTCATTATTTTCTTTATTTTCATTTCATTCCCCGGGTCAGTGCTAAGCTCCCAGGGACCTTAAGTTTGATACCC